GAAGCCTGTTACGCGAGACGTGGTCTGGCGAACATATAGCTAGTTATATTGAGTACTGTAGTGCAATGGCTAACTATAAATATTGAGAACTATAAATCGTTCCAAGTCCAGTCCATGGTCCCGTCGAGAGTCAGTCACACACCACTATCACTCGCCATCTATCGGCAGACCCCTCAACTACGTCGCCACCCATAACGTTCTTCTTCAACCCCTTACGTTCTTCTTTACGTTCTGACTTCCAATACCCTATAAAAGCAGGCGCCAGCCTTGACTCGGCGCCACACTGTGACCAGCGCTTGATGTGAATACATCGCTCTTAAAAGACTCCGGACTTTCATTCCAAATACCCCTCTACCCGTTACAGTACTTTAAATTTAAATTTCATAAACCAGGAAAGAAGTTGAAAAATATTTATATGTTAACATAAGTCACATATGAAATAAAAAAAATTAGGGGATCAATATATTTCTCATTGAAATATCAATAGTACAAGTGATAATCAGGTCATTTTCAAAATAACTCTTGCAGCTAAGACTTTCAGACTGGGCACAGTTAGTTTTTTGTCAGCTACCTTCCGATTGGCATACTTATTCAAACGCCCACTCAAGGGATTGTTTTTGTTTGCAATTGCAACAACATCAATGACATAGGTAGGCACATTGACGGGTTCATTTATATTAAACTTTAACACAACTCGGCATATGGGCAGGTCAAAATTTTCAATAACATGTAGAGCATAGCTGCATTTTGCTAAAATGTGACTTCAATCTAAAGTTCCATTCGAAGTTTACTGTGATAAAACGTATACATGTAAAACTTAGTTTCAGACTGGATTATAGTTTTATTTTTAAAGAACTTACCTTTATAATTTAAGTGATTTCATACACTCGTCAAAACATTTAGCGGTCCACTTTTTAACGCGTGGATTAAATTATCTCCCCTAGCACCTAGGAAGTCGAAATTTGACATAGACATGCACCCGTGTGTGTTGTTTAGCAACCTCGAGCGCGAATGTCGTGCGACACCCCTTACGCCGTACGCATCCCCAAATGATCACGGGGGTGGAAAAGTCGAAAAAAACGTGAAAGGTTAGGGTAAAAGGGGGTGCCGGAAGATGCTGAAATTTGGTGTACGGGTGTCCTAGGAACCAATTTGAAGGTTTTTGGCCCGTTCCACCCCCGCCGACAAACCACCCCCTACCCCCAGTTACCCCCACCCCCTCAAAGGGGTGTTCTTTTTTGAAATTTCGTACGCTACGGGAAATCTTGTGGTTTGACACGGGCAACGACAGCGAAGTGCCGGCTTCACTTTCGCACCCCCTGGAGGGCTGTACTACCCTTAACTGTCCAACCCTTACCTGAAATTTCCACATTTTTCACACTAAGGAGGCCTGGAAAAGTCTGGAAACTTCAGTTGAGAATGTGTAGGACGCACTGAGAAAGTCCCCGGTGAAAAACGCGACGATTTTCAAAAACTACCCTTAGGGTGGGGGTGACCACCCCTGTGATACTTACGCCCCTCAGGGGGGAGTGGTGGCAAATCTGCTTTACAGCAGCTTAGGGGGTCATGAAATGCACCTGTGATCAAAATTGGAACGCGGTAGGACTTTTCGTTTTCGCGCAGCAGCCAAAAATGTGTGACTTTGCTCTAAACCATCCTCTAAGTTTACGCCCCTGTAGCGACAAAGCGGGGTGGAATCCGACGGTCGCCACCACGGTCACAGAAGGGCATAACCTTCATCTTTTCGGGTACCGAGGGCCAAGCCGCTGGCAACACTCATTCAGGCCGCTGGGCCTGTTAACAGAAGGTACTGCTTTGCACCGTGCTCGGGCCAGTGGCTGACGAGCACGCACACGGACTTGTCCGAAAGTCGTTGCCTATCCTGCAAATTTTGACGAGAAGATTGTTGGACTCGTCAATAATCCATTAAATTTGCACAAAAGTTAAGGAATTTTGGATGAGAAACCAGTTTGACAAGTCCGTGTACGTGCTCGTCAGCCACTGGCCCGAGCGCGGTGCAAAGCAGTACCTTCTTTTAACAGGCCCACCGTAAATGCTTAAGGTACAAGGTTGGGGGGGGGGGGGCACTGGCCGTAGCCCACTAGGAGGTGTGGAACACTGATGTTACGTACTTATTTTTGTACCCTTATTTGCAGGAGATTAGATTAGATTATTTATTTCGATCTTTTGTATGTAGCACAATAGATGAAGTCAGTTTTAGTAAAAATAAGGAATAAGTACATTTAGAACTAATAAATATAGGACAAGTCATAAAAATACACAGCTGCCCCTACAATAGAAAATCATCTATATCATAGTACTCTTTATCAATTAAAAATTGCTTAAGCTTATTTTTAAAGGCATTATAGTATTGGGGTTTACGGGAGAGCCAAGATCATGTGAACAGCAGAACTCATGAGTGGTAAATGGCGACGAGTCAAAGGCTCGCGCCTCTATTTATTCAGTGTTTGGCATAACAACAAGAAGAACAAGGCGATCGTAAAACAATTAAATGGTTCAGGGGTTTCAGTGTAGGTGTCGCCTCCATAGTGATCACTAGTGGCCGTGACTGATGGTATTCTGCTGTAACCTGGTTAGGTTAATGTTACCATAATACTACACTACTCCCTTCTTTTTAGAACCCTTCCCTAAAAATGCTCAGAAAATTTTAACAATCACAAGAGCT